TTTTTTTTGGTTTTTCGAGACAGGGTTTCTCTGTGTAGCTTTGGAGCCTATCCTGGCACTCGCTCTATAGACCAAGCTGGCCTCAAATTCACAGAGATCTGCCTGCCTCTGCCTCCTGAGTGCTGGGATTAAAGGCGTGTACCACCAACGCCTGGCTTCAAAGTCCCTTCTTACACCAGGGAAAAATACTAACCCACTACCAGGGGCCCCCTAGAGGGCAGAGGCCTCCTCATTGACATCCATGTTCAGGGGTCTGGATCAGTCCCTTGCTGGCCTCCCAGACAGCAGTCTGGGGTCAATGTGCTCCCCCCCAACCACAGTTTTGGTGTGTCTGACCTCAAGGTAATTGATTTGAGGCTAAGAAAATGAATATATGGTATTCTCAGCCCATCACATTAGAAGTAAACTGGGTGTGTTTCAGGTGGGTGATGGTAGCTTTGACCAGTAGTCTGAGGTGCTGCTTTCCCCCTTTCTTAGAACACTTCTTTCACTTGGCTTCTGGGACGTCACACTCATTTTCTTTTGGATTCACTTTGGGGCCAATCTTCAATCTCTTTGCTTGTTCTTCTTCTATCTAACTGATGTACATTAATGTGACTTAGAAACTATCTTTTTCCATCTTTTCTGGAGTATGAGTTCATACTCAACAAAATCTCTTTTTTTTAAAGACTTTATTTATTTATTATGTATACAACATTCTGCTTCCATGTATATCTACACACCAGAAGAGGACACCAGATCTCATAACGGATGGTTGTCAGCCACCATGTGGTTGCTGGGAATTGAACTCAGGACCTTTGGAAGAGCAGTCGGTGCTCTTAACCTCTGAACCATCTCTCCAGCCCCAATAAAATCTCTTTTAGTCAAATGATTTTATATCCCAGTAAACACACTGATGATTCTCAAAACAAAATTGTTTTTTGTTGTTTTGGTTTGGGTTTTTGAGACAGGGTTTCTCTGTATTGCTTTGGAGGTTGTCCTGGAATTCACTCTGTAGACCAGGCTAGCCTCAAACTCACAGAGATCCGCCTGCCTCTGCCTCCCAAGTGCTGGGATTAAAGGCTGGGATTAAATGCCTGGTGATTCTCAAATTTTTATCTTCAGTTCTACCATCTCCTTTGGATTCCAGACTCAGATATATAACTTCCTAATTAATATTTTCATAGTTTAATATCTGGTAGACAGCTCACCAGAAACAAGTTTAGAAATTCAATCCCAGATCTCTTTCTCCAGTGTTTTCCATCTCAATAAAAGGCATCACTCTCCCAGCTGTTCCAGATAATAACATTGTTTCAATTACTTCTTTTTCATTAGATATGATTTTAATTGAATGTGTTCAATATGGTTTTGTGGTTTGCTTGCTAATTTTTGGCTCACTGTCGTCCAATCAAGTCAACTCTTCCTTCAAATGTATTCTGAATCCAATTACTTCTCTAATAATAACAAGATTTCAATGCACCATTATCTTTGGTGTGTGTGGGGTGTGTGCATGCATGTGTGTGTGTGCATGTATTCATATGTGTATAAGGGTACCCTCACCCATGCATGCATGTGTGGAGACCAGAGGTAAATTTCAGGTGTCTTCCTCTATCACTTTCTACCTGCCCCCTTTTGAGACAAATTCTCTCACTGAACCTGGAGTTTGCCTTTTAGGCTAGACTGGTTGATTAATGAGCCTTTGGTATCCACTAGTGTTACAGGTGCACACCACTAGAGCCCACTTTTATCAATTTTATGTGAGTGCTAGGGATCTTAACTCAGGTCCTCATTCTTGTACAGCAAAGCACTGAGCCTTCTCCTCAGCCCTGTTCTGTCTTCTCTGTTTCTTTTATTCTGATAGAGTTCATTTTAAGCATCTGGAAGGCTCCCTCATAGTATCCAAGTCCCTCAAAGGTACCTAACATCTTATCAATCTAGATTACTTTTTCTTTTTCAAACTTCACAAATTGTATACTCTGGCTTTTTGTCATTTAGTTTTTATGTGGCTTCTTTCATGTGGCACAATTCTGTGAAATTCAGCTATGTTGTTACATATAAAAATGATTAGCAGTAGTTCTTTGGTGCTTCTTGTGGTGTTTTATATGAATATACTACATTCTATTCTGCTGTCTGTCATTTGGGTTGTTTCCAGCATTTACCTCATGAAAAATGCTGTGATAAATATCCTAGCACGTCTGTTGGTAACCATATTATTTATTTTGTTGGGCCATAAGGTATACAACTAAGCAATTTTAAAGAATTGTTTATATTCAGACTAAGTGTGTTTAATTCTAATTCCTTCACATTCTTCATCATTGTTAGAGATGGATTTCAGCCTTTTTACCTTTGGGATTTTTGTTGGGATATGGTAGTTTCAAGTACTTGTATGTCTTTGTATACTATATTTATGTTGGTGCATATGAGTGCTGAAGGTCTGAACTCAGATGCTCTTGCTTGTAAGCAAGCACTCTGCTGACTGCACCATCCCACAGCACTCCCCATACACACCTTGGTTTCAGAGTTGGGGTCGGTCTCTCATTGTCCTGCTTCACTAGCTCGTTTAGGCTGGCTGGCCAAGGAGCCTCAGCTGTCTTCCTATCTCTGTCTCTTCAAAGCTGGGATTACAAGCACACACCACCATACCAACTCTTTTAGATGGATTCTGGGTTCAGACTTAAGTCCTTGTACTTGCATAGCAAACAGTTTAGTGACTATCTACCCAGCATTATTACTGCTATTCTTCTCTAACCTATTTTCCACATTGCTAACTTATGTCCAGCTATGCTAACTTCAAACGCACTAACATGTTACCACTCAGAACTTTTATTTGTTACACGTTAGACTTACAAAATAGACTTTGAAGACTCTTCTGTGGGGTCTTCATAGGCTTATTCCTTGGAACAGTGTGTAAATACTTTCTGTTAAAAGAAGTCTTCCCAAACAATGCAGTATCCTTATCCTACTTTCATCATAGTACTTGTCACTACCTGATATTATATTACATACTGTTCCCCTTCTATTTCTCCCACTAAAAGATAAGCTCTATGAGTGGAAACTATGCCTGCTCTGTTCACTGTTCTATCCCCAGGACTCAAAACAGTATATAACCTATAGCAAGTGCTCAGTAACTATTTTTGTAATGAATTGGGATTCCTTATCTCTAAATATTCTCAGTTTAAGGTGAAGATGCATAAATGGCATAAAGTAGTCCTATAACACCAATGTCCACAGAATACTTCAGAAGTTCTGACTTCGTGGTGGCCTGGTCAGATGCTTCAATGAGAATGTGGTCCTATATTAAGCTCTGAAAACTAAGTATTGATACATATCTAACCAAGAATAATAAAGAGCTCAATATATAGGGCAACAAGAATATAAAAGTAGATGAGATGATGCAGTATGACATCAGGCATAACTAGAGTGCAAGACAGAGGCAAAAGCCCAAAATTCTTGAGAATCATGATAAGGAATTTAGATTTTACCTTAAAGTTAATAAACAGCAAGGAGAAATCATTTAAGTTGAGGATAAATGATTTCCATTTTCATATTTAACTCCTCTCACTGCACTAATCATGCTAAAACCTCAACCATGTTGATGTCATCTTGGCAGTCGGGGCTCAGTTTGAAAACAAAAGGTCTTGCCTCACTGAGTAGCCTAGGTGAGGCACCACTTCCTCTTCTATTAGATCTTTATCCTCATCAGAAGAAGGCTGTAGATGCCTGAGATCTATCCCAGGTCTGAGTCTCTGGTTCTAGCCACAGGCTTCTCCTTGAACTTGGGTCACAATGCTTCTCTGAGATGCTTAAGGAAATTTTTAATATTTTCCTGTATCTACTAGAAATAATTAAAAACCTTCTATTGCAGCCAAAATAAATTTAATTGATTTTGTAATTTTCTAAGCACCTATATCAAATGCCAAGAAACTTAGTTCCTGGGCAAACTCTCTGGACAAAAATACAAGTTATTTTTCCTTCTGTCTGGGATGTTATGCTGGCTGATCTTATGTAAACTTGACACAAGCTAGAGTTATCTGAAAGGAGGGAATCTCAATTGATCAATGCCTCCATAAGATCCAGCTATAAGGCATTTTCTTAATTAGCGATTTATGGGTGAGAGCCCAGTCATCCCTGGGCTGTGGTCCTGGGTTCCATAAGAAAACAAGCTGAGCAAGCCATGAGGAACAAGACAGTAAGCAACACCCCTTCATGGCCTCTGCATCAGCTCCTGCCTCCAGGTTCCTGTCCTGTTTGAGTTCCTATCCTGGCTTCCTTCGGTGATGGACTACAATGTGAAAATGTAAACCCAATATACCCTATTCTCCCCAACTTGCTTTTTGGTCATTGTGTTTTGTAGCAGCAATAGAAACTCCAACTAAAACAGATGTGAATACAGGAGAAGGGATAATGGAATGAGTCTTTTTTCTTACAGTTGTGATTCCAAAGAATCCTTCCCCTGCATCTGATGTGAACACTGAGAAGTCCAGCGTCCACAGCACCAAAACTGTCTTGGAGCATCAACCAGGGCAGAGGGGGCGCAAACCAGGAAAGAAGCGGGGCCGAACACCCAAGATCCTTATTCCCCATCCCACCTCTACCCCATCCAAGTCAGCTGAACCTTTGAAATTCCCAAAGAAGAGGGGTCCCAAGCCTGGCAGTAAGGTAGGTAAAAATGTGGGCTTCCCAGAAATAGGTACAGGGCAGCAAAGAGGCAATGCATCCACACATTTCATCTCAAAAAGAAGCACATCTAGCCATCCTGTCTACCTAGTTGAAGGTTTTTAAGAGAAATCTAGATTGCCATCCCTGTTTAGCACTAATCTGGAGTTTGCTAATGTTTAAGATAGGATAGTAGGGGTAGAACCCAATTTTAGTTTTGAGAGATTCTATCCAATGTCTTCCATAGATAAAAGATCCTGCCTCAATAACCTTCACAAAACAGATGCCCAACATGTAAACAGAGAGTATCTTAGTTCTGTAAATATATTTCTTTTGCTATTGCTACCACTTCTTTTAAAAACTTCATTGAATGACAGACTATATTGGATGCCATTGCATCCATACCATGATCATCACAAAGCTCTGGGAGATTCTATTAGCATTACTTTATTGTGTAATAAATTAAAACTTAGATGTGAGAAATAGCAAGTGAATGACAAAGACTGCATTGATTGGTTCCTAGATCCAGTTCCAAGATCACTACTGCACACACACATCTTCTATACCTAAGGGCTGTATACTTCCCTCTAATGTGGTAAAAGATCAAGTCAAACTTCACTGAGCATGGTACTGAAAGTGCTACCTCTTAAGTCACTCAGTGTTTTCATAGATAGCTTCCCTAGAAGAAGCACTGGTCCTAGCTTCTCTAGGACCCTAAGCATCTCTCTTCCATCACTTACCAGTGATCAAGGATTTCTCAAAGCCTCCCTCCTGAATTTAATTACTTAAATCACCCAGTGGAAATGATGTCTTGTTCTCCATGAACCTCCATTGCAGTCCCATATTTTCCCCAGAGCTGGTTATTTGCTTGATTTACTATGCTTGTTAGTAACTCTAGCTAGCATTAGTCCTTATAGAATATAAGCTCCTCAAGGTCAAGCTCCTAATCTTCCCCTTCTCTTTTCCTCCTGCAGTACCTTGTCTCTTGCGAAATGTTCTGTATATGCAAAATGGATGGGTGGGTAGATGGATGATTTTAGTCATGATATTACCACTCTTAATTGTCTCTTTTTTATTGGATTTGAATTCTCAGTGTCACGTTTAATCTTTCTGTATAACATTCAATGTTATTTCTGACCCATTGCCACTAATACCTAACTCTGGTCCTGACTCTTATCTACTACACTGTTATCATTACGACTACAACTACGACTACTATTATTACTTTATTACACTATTTATTTATTCTTCTCTTTCTCCTGTTGTAGAGGAGAGGGAGGCTGAGTGAAGGCCTTAAGGATGCCAAGGCCAAAGAGGCATGGTTTTGATTATGTGGGCATATCTTGAGGGTAGTCAAAAGAGGGAATGTATGTATCTGAGAGACTCCAAAAACAAAAATGAGAGCTAGTAAATGGAAATTCAAACAGAAGGGCTTTGTTTCAATACATAAGGCACTATTTCAAATAGTAGTAAGCTCCTGTGATTGTTTTCTTGGGGATTGGGTGGCTCTACCAGGGGTCTGATTCAGGAAAAGGAAGAAAGAAATACTAAAGATGGTATTTTTTTCATTTTATCTGTTACCTGTCACTAAATCTTTTTTAATTTGTCTAGCATACATTTTGGTAGTTAACAAAGTATAAGCCATTTAAATATATTTATTCTAGAATTTCTCTTCAGAATAAAACAGAATAAGTAGGAAAAAACACATCACAATCATAGAATCAGAATGCTAAGTATTAAAATTACTATAATCTTCAGTCTTTTATCATAATTTTTATTGATTCTTTGGGAATTTGACATCATTCATTCCAATCCCACTCATCTCCCAATCCCTCCATATTCACCCTTCACTTTTGTAATGTTTAAGGTTTCCCCAAGGGAAACCGTAAAAAGAAATAATAAAAATAAAATACAAATAAGAATATTAATTTCAAAACAAACAAAAAGACCAAAACAAAACCAAGAAAAATGACTCAAGGAAGCATCAGGATATCCAAGAGTAATGTTGGTGAGGGTCTAGTATTGATGGTGTACCAGATGCCAGAGGCCTTGAACCTGACCAACAACACATTACACAATGAACATTTGCCAAGTAAAGCTGTTTAGACAGAAGGATATACTGCATGACACACAGCAGCTCCCAATGCCACCAAGACAAATGGAGAGAGGGGAAAGATGGAGGATTGAAGTGGTTTTGTTTGTTTTTGTTTTCTTGTTTTTGAAGATGATTATATTAAAGTGCCTTTAATATCCCTTGAAAACTAAGACCTCAGATATTATGATTTCGCTCTTCTGCCCCCTTCAGGAAATCAAAAACATAGTAGCCAATGTCCTCTTTCCATCCTCTTGAAGGTAAAAGTTCTCATGATATTCTATGTTTTTGTCCTAGCTTCTGACCCTAATTCCCCCTTTTATTCTTTTGCATGATTCTGTTAAAATATGTGCTTTCCCTGTGATAACACAAATTCTTTTTGAAACAAAAAGGAAGAATTAGAAAACAGACACATTTAGGCTTTGATCTCATCCCCCATTTATGGTCAGCTATGTGACTTTGGAATACTTTCTTTCAGTCAAGTACTGAGCCCCCTTCTCCCCAGTGAAATGGAGCTAAGCTAATACATGAATCTATGTAACTCATGTAATTACACCTATCTAAAATGCTAGTGGTAGCTTCCATCTTTCTGCTTTCTTCTACAACATTTGGGTACTCAACTCACTAGGCAGCTCTCTGAGGGACCCTTAAAATCATAGCACCAACTCATTGAAGTTGAACTAGTATTTATTTCCCTTCTATCATGACTTACTACTTACATGAAATTCTACTTTCAGGATTACCTGATAATGTGAGCCTTTGTCCATTTCTGAGGGTTTTTCATGATGGCTTCCTTATGTGAAGTCATTTGATGTATGGCCGCTATTGTCAGCAGGTCTCTCTAGATTATGTGTCCCTAGAAGGCAGACAGATTTATACAGCAGTGTACTTTACACAAACACTTTGTGAAAGAGGATTTTTGGATCTTGGTAATGGTTGTTTTTCTTGCATACCAAAAGGTTTTAGAAACTGTTTCTGGAAACATTCTTGAGTTCCAGAAAAAAATACTAACAATAATAGTTTTCTCTCAGATCTTCTTCATTATCCATTTATTGGTAATCTACATTGTGTGCTTCATGATAAACATTTATTAATACTTATATGTCTAGTGTCATGTGAGGAATGACACTCAGACCCTCACAGAGCTCTGGGTTAAAGGGGAGCATCAGTGTGCAAGCAGGTAATAACAATACATGGAGAATACAAAGTGTGGAGTGAAGAGGGGAAGTAAGAAAGCTTCCTAGATGGACATAAATGTATAATGTGAACAAGAAAGAACATTTCCTGTTAAAGAGAAAGTTTAAATTATAAAGATGTGAGCCAGGTAAAAGTGCAGGGTGTTAGAGAAGTTGTATAATCAGGAACTCTTAGATTACTAAGGGAAGGACTAGCAGGTAATGAGCTGAAGAGAAGAGGCAGAGGAAAGCAGCTGGTAGAGTCGGAAGGTCCATTTCCATTTAAAGAAAGAAACAAAGTAATAACAGTAAGCCATAGAATGCTGTCTGCTTTTATCTGCCCAATTTATAAAGGATTTAGAGTTCTTATGATGATGAATCTATCATAAAAGTGTATTAAGCTCTTTCTCTGTAGAAGACCAAAATCATGTACATACATTCAGAAAATGTTTACTAAGTACTTTCAATATATACAACTTTGGGACCATTTACTCAGCAGAAAATAAAGTGTGGTTCCATTCATAAATTTGTTTGTTTCATGGGTGTGACTGCTAAGAATAGAGGAATGAAAAGGAAGTTACCTTTCACAGGTAGCAAACTTTTCCCCATCTATTTTAACAGAGGAAACCTCGGACTTTGCTGAGCCCACCACCCACCTCACCAACAACCAGCACCCCTGAACCGGATACCAGCACTGTTCCCCAAGATGCTGCCACCATCCCCAGTTCAGCCATGCAGGCCCCCACAGGTAAGAGCAGAGGACAAAACTAGCTGCAGTTTACCCCTGAGGCATAGTGTCTACATAGCCTCTTGTTTTCTACCGATAACTAGCCCTGTCCACATCTAAACATAGGTAGAACCTAGGTTAAAAAATTTTTCTATGGGGGGCTGGAGAGATGGCTCAGTGGTTAAGAGCACTGCTTGTTCTTCCAAAGGTCCTGAGTTCAATTCCCAGCAACCACATGGTGGCTCACAGCCATCTGTAATGAGATCTGTTGCCCTCCTCTGGCCTGCAGGCATACATGCAGTACACATAATAAATAAATAAATTAAAAAAAAATTTCCTATGGTGTTTGAAATAGTGTTATAGAAATTTCATTTTGTTTGTCAGAGCAATATAAAACACACACACACACACACACACACACACACACACACACACACACTGGGGTAATTGTTCTGTGCACTCAAAGCTGGGAAAGTGGGTCCAGTTGCAAGGAATAGGGAAACATTCAGAGCTTGCTGACCCAGTTTAGAGTAATGCTCATCTTGCTTAGTTGGGTCATTCCCTTAGTGATCCCTTCCACCTTTCAGTAGCTTTATTCTGTAGTGGGAATTTGTTTCCGCCAATAGTTTTGGAGTCTTAGGGCATGGTTTTGGAAGAGGAGGGGTCATGCTGACTGTCACTTGGGTTGATGATCTGAAACCTGATCATCATCCTGCATGGTAGCATTCTGTGCCTCCAAGGGCAGAAGACCACGGCGGCAGCTTACCTTCAGTGTGTGAGTGTTCCCTAAATAAGTATTTGTTATTCTTTTACTCGGATGCTCGTGAACTTCCTTAATCCACCCACAATTGGTGTCCAACCAAGCCCTACAGCCTACTGCTTCCTTTTTGGTTCCATTTCCTTGGGATATTGTCTTCTGTCCCTTCACCCTGAGGTGGTGTCTGTCCTTGATGGTGAGGTGTGGTTTTTGGATACAGCAAAAAGATGGATCCTGTTTTCTAATTCAATCTTTTTATTGAGAAAATGAGACTATTGATAGTGAGAGATATAATAGAGGAATGTTTATTAATTCCTATTATTTTGTTTTTATGGTTTGCTTTATTGTCTACCCTTTTGATTGACTATTCTGGGATTATTTAGTCCTTGTGTCCTCATTGGTGTAGTTAACCTTCCCTTCAGACCAGAGTTTTCCTTCTAGTGCTTTCTGTGGAGCTTGATTAGTAGGGAGAAAATGTTCAGATTTGTTTTTATCCTGAAATATTTTTCTTTCTCCTTATGATTGGTAGTTTTGCTGTGTATTTGATTGGTAGTCTGAGTTAGCATCTGTAGTTTCTCAGTTTGTAGAAAATATGTCCAGGCCCCTCTGCCTTTTCTAGGTTCCATTGAAATCCAGGTGTTATTCTAATGGGCCTGCCTTTATATGTGACTTGGTCTTCCTTCCTTGCAGCTTTCAAAATCCTTTCTTTTTTTTCTGCATTCAGTGTTTTGATTATCGTATGTCATGGGGATTTTCTTTTCTGGTCCTGTCTGTTTGATGTTCTGTATGTCTCATGAGTCTTGGTAAACATCCCTTGCTTTAGGTTGGGGAAAATATATATATATATATATATATATATATATATATATATATATAAATAAAATTTTCTTTGGCTATAGTACATTTTTCTTCTGCTTTGTCTTCAAGACCTGAAATTCTCAGTTCCATGTCTTTTGATCTGTTGTTTAACTTCGTGAGTTTTTCATTTTGAGTTTTATTTCAATTTGTCTTTTCTTTAGCAATTCTATTTCTTGCCAAATTCTACTTTCATGTCTTAAGTTGTTTTCATTATTTCATTCAGCTATTTCTGTTTTCATGGTCTTCATTAAGGCATTTATTAATTTCCACTTTAAGGTCCTCAGAGCCTACTACAGTAGGACTGATGGCTTCTGCTAAGGGTATATTGTCTTTTTTTTCTCTCCATTTTTTATTTAAATTAGAAACAAGATTGTTTTACATGTCAATTCCAGTTCCCTCTCCCTCCCCTCCTCCCCTGCCCCGACTAACACCCTACCTACCCCATTCCATTTCTTCTCCCCAGGGAGGGTGAGGCCTTCCATGGGGGATCTTCAGAGTCTGTCATATCCTTTGCGATAGGGCCTAGGCCCTCCCCTGTGGTGTGTCTAGGCTGAGGGAGTATCCCTTTATGTGAAATGGGCTCCCAAAGTCCATTCCTATGCTATGGATAAGTACTAATCTACTACAACAGGCTCCATATATTCCCCAGGCCTCCTCACTGGCACCCATATTCATTGGATCTGGATCAGTTCCTTGCTGGTTTCCCAGTGATCAGTCTGGGGACCAAGAGCACCCCTTATTCAGGTCAGCTGTTTCTGTGGGTTTCACCAGCCTGGTCTTGACCCCTTTGCTCATCACTCCTCCTCCTCTGCAACTGGATTCCAGTTCAGTTCAGTGTTTAGCTGTGGGTGTCTGCTTCTACTTCCACCAGTTGCTGGGTGAAGGCTCTAGGAGGGCATATAAGTTAGTCATCAATCTCATTATCAGGGGAGGGCATTTAAAGTAGCCTCTCCACTGTTGCTTAGATGGTTAGTTGGTGTCATCTTTGTAGATCCCCAGACATTTCCCTAGTGCCTGATTTCTCTTTAAACCTATAATGTCTCCCTCTCTTATGGGATCTCTTATTTTGCTCTCCTCTATTCTTCCCCTTACACAACCTTCCTGCTCCCTTATGTCCTCCTCATCCTTCCTCTTCTCCCTTCTCATTCTCCTAGTGTTTGATGAATTCGGCCCCACCTCACCGCAGCAATCCTAGGGCACAACTGCCGCAGCCACCTCAGCAGGCGCCCTCCCCGCCCTGGGCATATTGTCTTGATCACGTTTGCACTGGGATCTAGGCATCGAGCATTAAGATGTTTGGGATGTTTCTTGGTATAAATACCTGGCCTCACCTTTGATGGGTGTAATCTTAGTTAGGGTTTCTATTGCTGTGAGGAGACACCATGACCATGGCAACACTTTTTGTTGTTGTAGTTGTTGCTGTTTTTTGTTTTGTTTTGTTTTTCGAGACAGGGTTTCTCTGTGGCTTTGGAGGCTGACCTGGAACTAGCTTTTGTAGACCAGGCTGGCCTCGAACTCACAGAGATCCTCCTGCCTCTGCATCCCAAGTGCTGGGATTAAAGGTGTGTGCCACCACCGCCCGGCTCATGGCAACTCTTATAGAGGAAAACATTTAATTGAGGTGGAAGCTTACAGTTTCACAGGTTCAGTCCTCATCATTGTGGCAGGACATGGAAGCATGCAGACAGACCTGGTGCTGGAGAAGTAACTGAGAGTTCTATATCTTGCAGGCAACAGGAAGTTAACTGAACACTGGGTGTGGCTTGAGCATATATGAGACCTCAAAGCCCACCCCTACAATGACATACTTCCTTCAACAAAACCACACCCTCTCTAACAAAGCCACACCTCCTAGGATCCTGCCTGAATCAAAAGACTTCTGACACCATTTTGTAATAAGTCTTTCCGCCAGCTGCCTGAGTTCCACCCCGACATTTTGGGGCACCAAATAACACAGAGAGACTTACATTAGGTACAGTGCTGCTAGCCAATGACTAGGATTTCGTGTCTGCTATCTCTGTCTTAAATATCAATCATAATTATTAATCTATGTATTTATAAAGACTTATCGAGGATGCTGGCTGAGTGCGTCCATTCTTCTCTGGATCACATGGTGACTCTCCCTCTACTACATTTCCCAGAATCCTCCTCAACTCCTACTCCCCCCTTTGCTTTCCTATTGGCCAACAGTGCTTTATTCATCAACCAATAAGACAAATATATACACAGAAGGACGTCCCCCCATCATCGGGCTATTTTCTTTCAAACCACCACAGGTGTATTTTGTTCTATCATTGCTATTTCCCCATTCTGGGTTCTAGCCAATTGTGGCAGCTATGGGGTCCCTGGTAAAGAGAAGTTTTAAACCCCACCCAACTGTGACAACTATGTGTCCCTGGTAGAAAGTGTTTCTACGGGTCAGCAGGGAATCTCAAAGGAATGGAGATAAGCTAGAGATATAAACAATAAAAAAGACTATGGAGAACTAGAGTTTCACTGGTTCCACACCAAAGTCAGGTAACAGGGGGATTCATAATATTAGTATCCTTATACTGACTATATGACATGTAGCAATGTCTCCTTTATCACTTCTGATAGGGGTTATTTGTGCCATCTTTTTATCTTTTTACAAAATCAACTTCTGATTTCATTGGGATTTTTCTAATTTTTTTCTTTAAATTTTATTAATTTCTCCTCTAATTTTTATTCTCTTCTGCTTAGTCTGGGTTTAAGTTTCTATTTTTGAGTTTCTTTGGGTATACACTTGTATTTTTGACTTTATATTTTTCTTTCCTAAATCTGTTCATTGTTGTGCTTTGTTTCTCAACCCTGCTTCTGTTGTATCTCACAAGTGTCAGTAAGATGTTTTTCACATATTAAGTTAAAGAATATTTTTTTAATTTCTCATACTGTTGACTTACGTGTTTTTGAGGGATATGTTGTTTAATGAACATATATTTAGATATTTGCTTCCTATCTTAATTCTACTGTGGTGTGAAAGAGAACACTATTTGGTTTCTTTTTTAAATTTGTTCAAATGTGTCTTATGGCCCAGAATGTGGTCTGTCTATTGTGACTGGTCTTTGTGAGCTTGAGCTAGAGTTACTGGATAAAATAGTTGTTAGATATCAATTATAGATAGTTGATTAATGATACTATTGATTTCAATTATATTCTTGATGACTTCATTTTTATTTTGTCCTATTGTATCTATCCAGTTCTGATAGAAGGATGTTGAAGTCTCCATCTACAATAATTGACTTATTGTAGTTCTATCTGGTTTTCTGGGTTTGGGTTATTTTTGTTGTTTTATTTTGTTTTGTATTTATATACTTGGGGTTGGCATGTGCCACAGGGCAAGTGTGGAGATCAGAGGACAATTTTGTTCTCTCCTTCCACTTTGTGG